CTAGTTAAAAAAATAGATATGCAACAAGCAACAAAGTTTTACTGTATAGCACAGGGAACTATATTCATTATCCTGTAATAACCTGATGGAAAATAATTTCAAAAATAGCATACATGTCTATGTATAACTAAATCACACACATAGAAAAGAATTCTACTTTTTGAAACTCAGTAATGTTTATCTTTTTGTCAGATTTTCTAAATGTCCTATGAACATCTAATAACACATGAGATACAAAATTTTAAATATATTTGTGTAGGATATACTAATACAAATTAATTAAATATAATATATTTAAATTATTATGACATCATTCAAGATACTCCTATTCTTATTTTTTTTGCACTGGATAAAATATTCTCAGATAAGTGTTAACATGTCTCACTATGATTATATATTTTTTCTTATATTTCTTCTGATTTTTGCTTTATGTATCTTTGTTTCTTTGTTTTTAAGGTGTCTAATGATTTATGATCCTCTTTGTGAATTGTACCTTTTATCATTAAAAATATTCATTCTTGTTTCACTTAAAATAAACTTTTTTTAAATGATTAACTTTGTTATGTAGACTTTAACCACAACTTAAAAAAAACCCCTCATCTTAACCCACATAAAAAAGTAAAATAAGCCTTCTAAAACCCTTGGCCCTTGTATAATGCCATAAAAATGTTTTATAACTACATCTGGCAAGCAGTTCAGCCCAGGAATGTGATACTCTAATAGCATAATAAATACCAAAGTCTCTGCAGCAGATTTCTCTTACTGGTTTAAAACAACAGGATTTTTTTAATTAAAAAAAGAAATATTAGAGCTTTTTGATGGTTATATTTTTAATAGATTCTGAACAAAGATTAGTTCAGAGACCAAAGAGATGGCATGTGCTTTATCACATATCAGGAAAACATATACAATCAGACTCTAATGTGTTTTCTACTGATAGCAACTGGTTAAAACCAATAAGCCTGAGAATAATTATGAGTTAAATAATAGAGGCAGGATACTTCTACTTTCAGCCAAGATGGGGTAAAGACTGGATTTACTGTCTGAAACAACTAAAAATCTGGACAAAAAATATATGAAAGAACAGTTCTCAAGATGTAAGCCATCAGGTAGTAAAGGACAGTGATGCATGAGAGATAGGACAGGTGAACCCAATGATTGCTCCAGGTTCCAGATGGCTAGAGAAAAAGTAGAATGTATTAAGTAGAGACATGAAGACTTTTTAAAATCTCAAAATGAAATTCTAGAGATTAAAACTTCAACATCTGAGATGATAAATACACTGGATGGGATTAAAGGCAGGTTAAATGTTGCAGAAGAAAAGATTAGTGAACTTGAAGACAAAGCGATGGAAACTATGCAAAAAGAAATACCCCCCCCCCAAAAAAAAACCTAAAAATCAATTTTAAAAAAGAAAAGAAAGAGGAGAGCAATAGTGAGATACGAGACTTCAAGTGGCTTAATCTATGTATAAGTAGAGTCTCCAAAGGAGAGGGAAAGATGTAATGGTCAAAAAAATTTCCAAATTTGATGCAAACTATAAATCCACATAAACAAGAAGTTCAGTGGCCCCAAAGGATAAAAAAAATCACTCCTTGTCATTCAGGTCTCAGTTGAAACATCAGAGAAGCCTTCCCTTACCAGCAAACCTTAAAGTAGCATTATGTATATCTTGTCTTAAAAATTGTTTACTTTTTTTTTTTAACGTATCCCTACTCTTCCCCTCAATGTAAGGACAGGCCCTTGTCTACATTCTTCACTAGAACATACAAGCACTGTGTTCCCAGGAACTAGCAGAGCACCCGACACTGAGAACGTACTCAATACATATTTCATAGGAGACTGCATAATTTTATCTATTCCTAACCTTTATGCCGGAGAAGGCAATGGCAACCCACTCCAGTACTCTTGCCTGGAAAACCCCATGGACGGAGGAGCCTGGTAGGCTGCAGTCCATGGGGTCGCTAAGAGTCGGACATGACTGAGCGACTTCCCTTTCACTTTTCACTTTCATGCATTGGAGAAGGAAATGGCAACCCATTCCATTGTTCTTGCCTGGAGAATCCCAGGGACGGGGGAGCCTGGTGGGCTTCCGTCTATGGGGCTGCAGAGTGGGACACGACTGAAGTGACTTAGCAGCAGCAGCATCAAACTTTAGGCTTCCCAGGTGGTTCAGTGGTAAAGAATCTGCCTCCCAGTGCAGGAGACACAGGTTCGATCCCTGGGACGGGAAAATCCCCTGGAGGAGGAAATGGCAACCCACTCCAGTATTCTTGTTGGAGAATTCCATGGACAGAGGAGCTTGGCAGGCTACAATCAACAGAGACACAAAGAGTTGGACACATCTGAGCGACTGAGCATGCAACTTTCAGTAATGAATTCCTATTTCAAAATCCCTCTCAAATGATCAAAACGATTCTTTCTGCATTCTGAACATTTCCTTTTGCTCCGAGATTGTTGCCACTGAACAATATGGCATTTACTAGCACTAACTGTCATTGTCTAAAAGTAAAGCTACCTAACCATTTCTTGAGGAACGACCTATAAGAAAACAACGCTTCCAGGCCAGATTGACCCCAGGCAAGACTCTGGCAACACTACTGCCAAGCTTGACATCCAGCTTTTCACAGAACATAATTCTCAGCTCTCCAGGAGAATACCATTTTCATCAAAACAGCGGTTTACTGGACAGCAATTGTAGGCAAACATTTTACACTTTATATATGTTTTCTATTTACTCTATGATGAGGTTACAGATAAGGCAACTGAGGCCTAGGAAGGTAATGTAACATACCTAGTCACACGGCTATTAAGTGGCAGAATATAAATCTATCTGACTCCAAAATGTTGTTCTACAGCCCTGATATCAAATTAAAGTGTTATGAAATTGTGGCTAAGTATCAAGCAGCAAGGACTTCCCTGGTGGTTCAGATGGTAAAGCGTCTGCTTACAATGTGGGAAAGTCGGGTTTGATCCCTGGGTCAGAAAGATCCTCTGGAGAAGGAAATGGCAACCCACTCCAGTACTCTTGCCTGGAAAATCCCATGGACAGTGGAGCATGGTTGGCTAAAGTCCATGGGGTCACAAAGAGTCGGACACAACTGAGCGACCTCACTTTTTCACTTTTATCGATAGCAGCAAACATCTCTTGAGGAAGGATATAACTTAGAGTTTGCTTTCCATTTAACAGAATGATAAAGATCAAATCCTTAATATGTATGTTCACAGAACCCCTACGATTGAAATGAGAATCAACAACACTTGTCTCAGTATTTTCTCTTAAAACTAGGAAGATTTAAATACCTGAAATCTTCAATAGAATACCAAGAAAATAAAGTTTTTACATTCTAGAGGACTGGCTGAAGTGAAGCTACCTTTCACTAGCTTTCAGATGTACTTTTTCACTCTTCACATTTTAGTATTTCTGAAATTCATGTGCATCTCACAATCAGTAGTGTTTGACTATCAACCAGGCAGCAGTTAGTGATGTGGTGATCAATCCACATGAGTGAAATCAGCCATAGCCATTCATATTGTCATTGATTCTATGTCTAAATAAGTCAAAACTAACTTTTTAAAAAAGTTGTTCAAGACATATTTTTCTTTTTTTATGGAGATATAATTGACATATAATATTACACAGTTTAAGTTATGTAACGTATTGGTTTGACTCATTTATATATTGCCATATAAAAACTACAGTAGTGCTAGCTAACAATGGCACATATTTATAATTTCTTTTTTGTAGTGAGAATAGGTAAGATTTAGTCTCTTAGCAATTTTAAAGTTTGTAATACAGTATTGTTGACTATAATCCCTATGTTGTATACCAGGTTTCCAGAACTTACTTATCTACTATTTGTATCTGGTACCCTTAAACAGTATGTTCTCAACGTCCCCACCCCCCGTCCTTGGTGACCAACTAATCTCTATCAAAATAACTTTTTAAAAAAAACTTCATGCTGTTTTAACTTTACTTTTTTTTATAATTATAAGAACAACGTATACTTTGTGAAGAAAAAAACTACTTCAGAATATACAACAAATTGCAAAGAAGAAAACTGAGATAGCACTGTTGATAGTTAACATTTTCCACAATTTTTGCACAGGTGTATATATATGCTTAATATATATATATGCATGTGTGTGAACACATAAAACTGGAAAATACATACATATATCCTATAATATTACATCTATATCATTTAACTAATCTATACTTTTCACAACATGATCCTATCAGATGCAGGTTTGCATTATGCATTTCTAACTTGGCATCAAGTTGTGAACATTCTCTGCATCAGTAAGCAGGTTTCCCCAGCATGGTATCTAACAAAGACAGATTCACTCAACATGTACTGCATGCCATTTAAGCAGTTCCCAGTTGTTGGGCATGTATGGGTTGTTCCATTTCTCTGTCCTTGGCAGTGTTGAGATGGGGCATATCTGATGATTGCATGGTGTCAAACTAAGAAAGTGGAGGTACTGATCTGGTCTCGTCCTCCAGGTTTGAGGTGGATAGTCATGTAGGCTGATTTGCCCTGGTGGATTTACCATGGTGGGCTTCCCTGGTAGCTCAGCTGGTAAAGAATCCACCTGCAATGTGGGAGACCTGTGTTCGATCCCTGGGTTGGGAAGATCCCCTGGAGAAGGGAATGGCTACCCACTCCAGTATTCTGGCCTGGAAAATTCCATGGACTGCACAGTCTATGGGGCCGCAAAGAGTTGGACATGACTGAGTGACTTTCACAGTAATGTCTATCAGGGTATGGATGAGGAATGCACAGAAGAGGATACTACCTACTACTGTCACCATGATGAGAAATATCAGCAAGGATCCTGAGATGGTGAAAATTTTGCCGGGGCACATGGAGCTGAACTTCCTGGTATCTGTATCTGCCCATCTGGTCCAAGGTCAGATTCAGGAGGGTAACTTTTTCTCTGAGGAGTTCAGAAAGGAGCCACTGTGGATCCGCTTGGATTCTGATCTGGAATAGGAGCTATACTCCATCTCCACTGGAACCAATCTCAGCAGTCAGTTCGCCATTTAGGTTACCAGGCTTACTCCTGATCAGCACACTGGAGGGCCCATAGATAACTGTCAGAAAGATCATTTCACTTCTCTCAATAATGTGTGGGAAGATTTCCATCCCACACTGAAGTGGTGTGTTGTAGATGCTGACCCTTTGGATGATAAGCGTCTTGCTGTCTGGGTCATAGTTGGATACCTGTGTGTAACTCACATACCATTTGTCGTCAGTGGCACTGGTGTGGCAGATGGCAGTCACAGAATCCACATTCTCTGCCATGGAGCTGGTATTGACTGAGATACCTGGGATTTCCAACTCGCCAATCTCAGGCCAGCCAGTTGCTCTCTGGGTCCTGTTGATGGCTTCTACCCACACAGTGTAGCTCCCCGTGTCACTTAATTAAGACTCCCTGATCAGCAGGTCACCTGTCCCGGCATGCTTTCCCAGCCCTTGAACATGGGCCCACGCCACAGGACCAGTTTCCCTCAGAGGCTGCACCTGGGCCTGGAAAGGCCCATGAGTTGCATGGGTCCTCCTGGTGGAGGGGGTCTCTCCAGGGACCAGGCAGCCTCTTGTGTCCTCTCACAGACCTGCATCAAAATAACTTTTGATCAAGCATAAGATAAAAAATTCTAGAGGTTAATTGGTTTACTTCTTTAGCATTACATAAAATAAGGGTTTGCCTCACAGTTGATATCTTAGATTTAAGAAGTTCAACATTTCATTTGGGAAGACACTTTTATTGGCCTTTTGGTTATAAACAGTTTGGCACGCCATCCCTTCAGGCCCCCACCCCCAAAATGGATGGCATGGCACAATAAAATCATAGGAATTCTCCATTCTTCAGGCAGTCAAAGGATTAGGGCTCCTGAGAAAAAAAGATGACGACACAGAGAAAGGGCTTAGTCATCAAAGGTTTAGTGCCAATGAAGAAATAAGCAAGTGCAAGTTTTAAAGCTGAAACAGTCAATAGTAGTAGCAATGGCATAATCACACTACCTCTAGCACCTAAAACCAGTCAGGCACCAAGTGCTTTACATAAACTCATTTAATCCTCTAACAACTGTATGAATTAAGAACAATTTTAATGTCCACCTCAGAGGTTCGGAAAGGCTAAGTAACTGTTCAAGTTCACATGACCAATAAGAACGACCTTGGGCAAGTTAGTTGCCTAGTCAGTTCCTTGCAGTAGTGATATCTAGAAAATTTACAGACCAAGATATATGTGGAGGGCATATTATAGCCAAATGAGGGGTCTATCAAGTGAACACTCACTGTTAACTACAAAAAATGTGGAGAGTTGAGTTAGGGACAAACCAAGAGATTATATCCCTAGTAGAAGATTTACAGAAGACTTTGAAAAGTGCAGGGGCTTCCCTGGTGGCTCAGCAGTAAAAAATCCACCTGCAATGCAGGAGATGCAGGTTCAATCTCTGGGTCAGGAAGATGCCCCGGAGAAGGAAATACTCCAGTATTTTTGCCTGGGAAATCCCATGGACAGAGGAGCCTGGTGGGCTACAGCCCATGGGATTGCAAGAGTCAGACACAACTTAGCAACTAAACTGCCACCATCACCAGAAACGTGTGGATTACATAAAGAGTACAGTCAGTTGATAGAGATAATGCCCAAACAAATTGGATTATCACTAGGATAGAAGGCTGAATGAAAGTGAAGATATAAGCAAGGACATTACCATCCCTCTAAGGATATGACAGATTTTTCCCATTGGGATTCAAGTCTGTTCGAATCATCATACTGTTGTCTTAGAGAGATGAGAAAGGAAGAAAAAAAAGTCAATCCTCAACTACCTCCTATATCCCTGGGGCTTTAATATCAGTGCCTGAAATCTGTAGTCAAGAATTGAGTCCCTGATTTTATGAGGTTCCACCATTCTACACATTACTGAGTTGTCAAAGAACTCAGCAAGGTACAGTGCCAAAGACCGAATAGAAGATAATCTTAGTTACAACCCAAGCTTTCCTTGACCACCCCAATAAGGACAGGGGTTGGGATATTTATCCATTAGATGTTCTTTTCTCTGCTTAAAAAGGAATATATCAACCCCAGCTATAATGAAAGCAGACTGGTAAAAAGATCAATTCCGTGGCTCTAAAAGCCTGTTTTTGCTCCTCTAGTCTAACTTCTTTCATGTAATAATTACTAGTGTTAGTTTTGAACACCTTTCAGGTACTATGCTACATACCTTGCTTCCCCAAATAAATTCCACTTATGGACAGCAGTTTTATCCCATGCCTGAGAGTTCCAACCTGCCCTTCATGATTGCCTGTCCTGTGGATTTCAGACTTGTCTAGCCAGCCCCTTCAATCATGTAAGCCAATTATTTCCAATAAATCTCTTAATATACATATACTTCTGTTTCTGCTTCTCTAGTTGTACGCAGACTGATATAGATTTTGATACCAGAAGTGATTCTAGAGAAACAGAATCTTAAGGATGAGTTTTTGAAATTGATTCTAGATTTTCTGGAATTGGTTCTCTAATCTTATTAATGGCACTAATGACTCTATCTTCAGTAGTAAAAAGGATATTGGTAGTTCATGACATGATGTGGCAAGAGATGTGCAAAACAGCATCGTTCAAATACCTACAGAAAACGAGATTCTATGTGGCTGTGTATTTGCTACATAAGAATATTTTACTCAAACTATGGAATGTGATGCATTAATCACAACTCACATTTATATAAAACCCCACATTAAAGACCTCTTACCCTCCTGGCCCTATGTGATCAGAAAGACTGGCAAAAACACATGCAAGCTGCGTGGCCCAGTGGTGCTCAAGCCAATAGAAGGGCAGGCAGAGCAGGTCAGTTTGAGTTAAGACAATAAAGAGCTTTACCAGCTTTTCCAGAGCTGTTTCTGCCACTGTGCCTGGATAGGGAAACATTCATAGACCTGCTCACAGCTGAATACAGTCTCAAACATGCCTGATCTGGGAATCTGAACAGATGGGAAGCTTCACAGCCTATCCAACAGCCCTGCTTACAGTAGCACTTGAACAGAGGCACAGCCTATAGACTTCTCCATCTGCAGAGCAAAGCCAGTGGCCTCATCTGACCAGAGAATTCAGTGCGGCCTCTCACCTGATTCAGGGTCCCAAACAACAAACCACACAGGCCTGGGTCCCATCCTACTGCCCCGTCAGGTCAGAAAAGCTAATTCATAGCCCTCTCTACCACTGAATGTAGTACCCAGTCCTGACCGTCCAGTGAGCCTGATCAGAGAATCCAGGCAGCTATAGAGCCCCTCCCATAGGCTAGCCTCAGGGTAGGGAGTCAACCCAGCACTTTTACCCAACTGCTCTCAAGCAGTGGCACATCCCCTCACTACCAACCTCAGAACTCAAACAGTTAGTTACCTCTCGGAAAAACAGACCAGAACAATAGGCTCCTCTTGTCCAAGGACACTATCAGCAGACAAGCCCAGAAACCTAACAGAGTTGACAGGAGAAACCTAACAGAGTTGACAGGGGAAAATCTGTCTCTTCCAAAGAAAACTGATAAGACTGTAAGAGAAATCCAAGTACTCAACTGTGCAGACACAAACATAAGGAATCAAGGATCATGAAAAACTAAATATGACACCACCAAAAGAAACAACACCAAAAATAACAGATGGAAAGAGAGATCTACAAGCTGTCAAAGAATTCAGAATAATCCTCTTAAAAATTAGTAAACTACAAAAAAACACAGGCAGAAACCTAAAAGAAATTAGGAAAACAATGCACAAACAAATAAAAAAAGTTTGACAAAGCAACAAAAACTACCAAAATGACAATCACACAGAAATCCCAGAGTAGAAGACTACACTAACAGAAATGAAGAGTTCATTAGAGAGTTTCAAAAGCAGACTCAACCATGCAGGAAAGAGAATCAGTGACCTGGAAGATAGGACCCTGGAAATTATCCAGTCAAAGAAAGAAAAAGAATGAAATGGAGTGAAGAAAGTCTACAGACTTACGGTACACAATGAAAAAAAAAAAAAGAAAACAAAAAAATTCACATTATGGGAATTCCAGAAGAAGACAAAGAGAAAAATGATAGAAAGCATATTTAAACCAAAATGACTGAAAATTTCTCAAACCTAGGGAGATACATGGATGTCCAGATCCATGAGGCTAAAAGACAGGTTGAACTTGAATAGGGCCACACCAAGACATATTATAATTAAAGTTGTCAAAATTGAAAGATAAAGAAATAATTTTTAAAACAACAAATGAAAAGAGAGAAATTATATACAGGGGAACCCACATAAGACTAAAGGCAGATTTCTCAACAGAAACATTTCAGGCCAACAGAGAATGGGACAACACACTCAAAATATTGAAAGAAAAAACAACCAAGAACACTATACCCAGTGAAGCTGTCCTTCAGAAATAAAGGAGGGATAAATCTTCCTTGGACAAACAAAAGTGAGAGAGTTACCACTAGACCTACCTTACAAGATACGCTAAAGGGAATTCTATGAGTGGAAGTACGGGACAATAAATAACATCATTCAAAGGTAGTGTAAAATGAATGGCAAATGTACAAATTTAGGTTCTGTAATTTAGTTATGATGGTTCATAGTTCACTTAAAACAAGTTCAGAAGTTAAAAAGTGAAAATATGAAAAAGAACCATAACTACAATAATTATTGTTATTAGTTACCCAATAGAATAATGTGTAAATTAACAGCAATAAATAAGAATGTGAAGGGGAGAATAAAAAGTGCAAAGTTTAGAAATTATACTGAAATTAAGTTATCAGTTGAAAATAGGATGCTATAATTTTAAGATATTTTATGTAAACCTCATGGTAACCACAAGGAGAAAAACCTAGAGCAATTACACAAAGGAACACAATAAAGAAGTCAAAATATACTAATACAAAAGATATCAAAACATGAAAAAAGAGGGCAGGATAAAAAACAAGGAACAATTAATCTTAACAATAATTAATCTAATTAATTAAGCAACCAGAAAACAATTTTTTAAATGTCAATTAAGAAAAGTCAATGAAGTCCTTACTTTTCAATAATTACTTTAAAAATAAATGGATTAAATTCTCCAATCAGAAGATAATATACCTAAAAAAATTTTTTTTTTCCTTAAAAAAAAAAAGCAGGGCTAGTTACACTTATATCAGAAAAAATAGACTTTAGTTTTAAAAGGAGACAAAGAAGGTCATTACATAATAATGGGGTCATTCCATCAAGAATTTATAACAATTTAAAGTATTTATGCAACCAAAATTGGAGCACCTAAATATAAAAAGCAA